TTCCAACCCAAACAACCTGGTCGATCGTTCCCCACAGCATGGTGAAAAAAGGATGCGCTGTCCGAGTGAGTTCGAGGGTTCTTCTTTTCATCCAGTGTACATGTCAGCAGTGAAACGTTTTTTGTCACACATGACTGTTTGCGTGGTTACATGTTGTTTTGCAGTTTTATTTGGCGATGCGATCCGAAGCGACGTGGCGTTTATTTTTGTTTTTTGTTTACTCCTTGTTTTTCCACACGGCAGTGGTGTTGATCAAGGTATTACTTTATGTTGAGGGGTACTTGGGGCGTGGCGCTTTAAACTGACCTGTAATAATAACTTTGCTTCTTTGCTTGTGTTGCCCTGTGGGGCTCGTGTGATCGTGCTGTCTTTGTGCTCCTGCGGGCTCGCCGTCTTTCTTGGTTTTTGCGCTCCTCGCTGTGCTTGTGCGGGCCCTGATGTTTCCCGTGTTGTCTGCCCTCCTTTGTCGTGGTTCCTGTCTCTGTCCTTCCTGCCTTCCCTGCCCCGTGAGTGGTCTTATTTGTGCTCTGGTCCAGCTTGCACCCCGGTGTGCTGGTGCCTCCCTCTGGGTATCTGGTTGCAGCTGTGACGGCTCAGTTGCCCTGCTTTCATGCTGGGAGTGTGGTTAAGCTTTGCTATCCTTCCGTCATTCGGTTCATGGCAACAAAGGCTACTAGCCCTGTGTGGGGTTTTCACCCTCTACACCATGTCACTGGTGACGTCGGGGAGCTTAGTTCGGCCATACTGAGGTATTCATCGTGATGATGATCCAGGTCCATATTAGACTCCGCTAAGCTGCACTATTGCTATTCTAATGTGATTGGTGCAGCCTTCTCTGCCCTGTCCTCCTCTGCCTTCCCGGCGCCCCCCTCCTGTCTGGTTGCCGCTTGGTCTTGTTGTCCTGTTGTGCTCTTGCTGGGTTTTCCTTTTGCTTGTCTGTGTCTCTGATGGACCTTGCGTGCTTCCTCTGCTTCCTCTGCTTTTTTTCTCTCCCCTGCTCTCACTCAGGCACAAATGAATGGAGAATTGTTTGACTGTACGTACTTTGGTTTTCTGGATGACTTTTGTTTGGTTGTTATCTACACTGAATGGAGAGACACTGACACAGCACTCTTGTGACCCACTAAGGTGACTCAGGACAGCCGTATCGCCAGTGCCCGTAAAGGCCGTCTACTTCTTCTGCCTTTCGTGCTGGCTAGACTTCTTTTTTCTGAGGGGCTGCTTTGCTAATTTGCCTTAATTCGTTTGTTCTCTTTGGGTTCCCCTGGTATGTCCTCTGTCTGGGTACTCTATATCGGTAGCTGAATCCAACTGAGGGGGGCGGTAGTTAGCCGGTTGATGCCATGGACCAGCCTGTGCTGCAGCGAGCTTCACCGGTGCATTCCGGTGTTCCTCCCTGTAGGACAGCCTGGGGCGCCCGCGAGCAGCACAAGACTGCCAACATGGTTCGTCGCTGGACAGAAAGATGTGGTAACTCTGCAGCCTGTCTACTCTCTGGGTGAGTGGCAATACAGCCGCAGTTTTGCTACAATGCTTGCCGGTAAGTACTGCAACGCACTGCGGGTCCTTCAGGGACGATGACATCCTGAAATGTCCTGAACAGTTCTGTAGTTTGTATTCCTTGCGAACCTGCTTTTCGAACGCTACACTGCCTACGACAACACATGTATGGTGGCACTTGCAATGACAGTTTTACAGATACAAGCGTTTTTTGCATGTAGCTCAGGTTTGCGAATACTACCAAGTAAGTCGCTGACTGGGATCAATACAATGGATGGCTGCATTTTCCCCTATGAAACTAGGGGCGCGCCCCCTTTTTTGAGTTTGTCGGCGATGGCATGTGCCTATCCCTGGCCTACAATGCTTCCTCTTTGTCATCACTGGCCCCCCTTTGAGGGGGGAACTGATTTCATTACACCATGATTCGAGATCGCGGCTGACAGTCAAGAGGATGATTATTATGTTGATGAAGGCCCATGACGAGTTGATCTGAGAGGACTCTGAGAGAAGATTTCATCGTTGCCCTGCTTTCCTGTACAGCTTGGCTCATGCTAGGGTTAACTCCCGAGCTATGGTCTTCATGTCCGCCTGGACAGCTGCGATCCATAATTCATTTTGCATGTTTTTGATAGTGAGGCAGTGGTCATACCACTGCGTCCAATGGCAAATCGATTCAGTGGGTGTTTTGTTTGGGCTCCGGCCCCGTTTTTTGTGGGTCTTGCTTTGTTTTTCTGCTGTTGCTTCGCTTTTTCCGCTGGCGAAACGCAAGTCTGGCTGGGGGATTTGCGGGTCGTCTTTTTTGTTGTTTTTGTGGGTTCTGGCTTTGTTGCTTTAATCGATTTGCCGACTTCAAGGACCTTTTGTCCTTGTACAGTGTATTTTCAGCTTACTCTCATGTAAGGACCGAGCCTTAGCGCGACATCGGCCACACTCGAAGAAAAAAAATGATTTCAACTGAGTCTCTTTTCATGTCATATTCTTTGAGCATGTCGTCTAATTCTTGCAGGCTCGCGGCTCGATGAATACAACATTGTCTGACAGCACCATCAATGTGCAATGGCCATCCCACGGGCATGTGGGAGTCTTCAAGGAGTCCATCACCATTTTGCTCTATGATTGTGCCCAGCATAGGGACATCAATGGTTGCTTTGAGGCTAACCTGTGCACGTTTGCACTTCCACGTGTCAGGTGCTAAAAGGCCTCTGGCAGCCAACAGTTCGAGCGATGGGAACTCTGGTTGGTCATTCGTCGGCAGCACCTCTTCTTTGATAACTAACTTGAGCCCGTGCAGTGGCTGGGGCTGCTGTTTCTGAGGGTCTTGATTGGGTTGGGGTGCGGTATCCTTGGGTGTTGTGTCTTCAAACCAGGTGGGGCGGACCGACTGGACGCCTATGGGACTGGCGGAACTTGCGGTTTTGATGCTTTCTCTGCGCAGGCTATGGTATACCGGTGGGATCATCCATGCCGGCACGAAAACTGTGATAAACTGCACGTTCCAGATGACCTGCAATTCTGCGGCTTGACTTCGGGCGTGATGCATCTTACCTGACCATCGATTACTCTGGTGTATGATTCGGAGCGGTCGAAAGATGCTGTGACTTTCAAGCCTACCTGGAGGCTCCAACGGTGTCCTTTGGACAACGTTTTCAACAAACGAGGCTGTTTTGCAGAAACGTTCTCGTTTGAATCCAACGGCTTCGTTTGGCTTCGCAAGGCAGATAACATGATGTCACATTTTTCATGGCGCCGTTGTTGATGTTATGTACATACATCTGCAAAGGTTGTGGATCAAGCTGCAAGATGCTGCACATGGCTGTCCTGCTATACACTACGACGTCAAGTCTTTTAAATCAAACAGTTTCGACTGGCTTCCAAAAGCAAAAAACAAAATGTATGTCAATACCTTTTAGGGTGTTGGCCTTAAGTCTTTAACACAAGGGAACATGGACTGAAGAAGTTGTGCTTTTGAGGTGGCAAGTTGTCAGCGACAACGCATTTAGGGTTTAGAGCGACAACGCTTTTGGGGTTTACAGCGACAACGCGTTCAGGGTTTAAGTGAAACGATTTCCTTGTGCTTGAAACGCTTCGGTTGGCTTAAAATGGTTTCGGTCGGCTTCCAAAAGCAAAAAACAAAATCCATTTTTGACAGCTTTACGTTGACAATACTTAGATTTTTTTCAAAATTACACATACGAAAATGGTATTTAGTTTTACTACTACTACTCATCCTGCTGCTACTACCACTACCACTGCTACTACTACTACTACTACTACTACTACTAACTCCTGCTACTACTCCTGCTACTCTTACTATTGCTACTACTTCTACTGCTACTACTACTGCTGCTACTACTGCTACTACTGCTACTACTGCTACCACTACTTTTACCGCTATTGCTAATTAGGGTTCACAGCGACAACGCTTTTAGGGTTTAAAGCGACAACGCTTTTAGGGTTTACGGCGACAACGCTTTTAGGGTTTACAGCGACAACGCTTTTAGGGTTACAGCGACAACGCTTTTAGGGTTTACAGCGACAACGCTTTTAGGGTTTACAGCGACAACGCTTTTAGGGTTAAACGATTTCGTTGTGCTTGAAACGTTTCCGTTGGTTTAAAACGGTTTCGGTTGGCTTCCAAAAGCAAAAAAACAAAATCCATTTTTAACAGCTGTAAATTTCACACATAGGAAGATAAAATTACTACTACTACTACTACTACCACCACTACTACTACTACTATTATTATTTAGGGTTTACCACGAGAACGGTTTTAGGGTTTACAGCGACAACGCTTTTAGGGTTTACGGCGACAACGCTTTTAGGGTTTACAGCGACAACGCTTTTAGGGTCTACAGCGACAACGCTTTTAGGGTTTACGGCGACAATGCTTTCGGGGTTTGCAGCGACAATGCTTTATAGGGTTTACAGCAGCAATTAGCATGAGCAGCAAAGTAGCAGTAGCAGTACCCAGTAGCAGGAGTAGGAGCAGAAGCAGGAGTAGGAGCAGGAGGAGTAGTAACAGGAGTAATAGTATTAGCAATAGTGGTAGTGGTAATGGGCTTGGGTGGGTGGGAAAGCTCCGCTATACCTTTCTTTGACCAGAGAGACACACAACAGAGCCTAGCTCCTCCAAATGGGGCGCCAAAACATGTTCCGTTTGCAATAAGACAGGTGTTCAAAACTTACCATGCAAAACTTGTATATATAATATAAACAAACCAGCTGTTTGAGGGATATTTTTACATATTCTTGAACATAAGCCATATTATGTATATACATATATGTGTGTATGTGGTAGAATTACATATTCACAGGTTGGTTAATACACCCTCAGGTTCGCACAGTGTGACCACTTAAACTGGGAATATTGGAGCGGGCAAGATTCGAAGGTGTCCAACAAAATTCAAGGGTCCACCGAAATATTCCTTAAGGGTTGAAAGGATCAACCTGGCAGCCACAGAATTCAGAATGCAATTTTTCCCCCGGAAGAGCACCGCTACTTAGTTGTCCACCATCCGTTCTTTGAACCGATAGAGGGATACAGCCAAAGTTAGGATGTATCTTTGGAACACCCGGAGTGCCAAGGTCTTCCCATGAACTTGGGTCGCAATGCTCTTCAATCGCCCCAAAAAAGATTCTTCAGTAAAAGTCGAAAACAGTTTCAGCTGGTTCAACCTCAAAGTCTTGAGGTCTTCAGCAGTATGCATCATGTAGTGCAGTTTTGGTCTACACTTGAACAAAAGGAGACTGTTGCCAGCGCAGCTTAAAGCTAGCCAAGCGAAACAGGCAACGAAAGTAAACACAGACTTGGAAGCTTCTTCAGCTTCTGCACAGCCTAGGACAAGCCCTGCATGAGTTTGGATTTCCGTCGCTCTTTGCAAGCCATAGCAACAAGAGGCTAGCACTTGTATTTGAACATCATCAACCATTACATCAGCAACCTCTTGGGTTTTCTTGGCCAACCAAAAAAGCATCATTCGGACATGGGAAGCTTTGTACCTCGTAGATAGCTCTGAATACTCATCACCGCCCAAACCAGCCATTGTCAGCACTGGTTTCCGTGGAAGGTATAGCCTGAGCCGGCCGGCGCAATGGGAATGGCATGGCATTGGGGTGGTTATAAGACCAAGGGCCTACAGGGGGCAGCGAAAAAAAACGCAACCAAATCAAGGAAATCACGAAGCATGCCACCCAAGTAGCCCGTATGCAGCACATGTTGTGTGGATTTCCGCATGTACACCAGCTAGAACAGAATCCCAGTCGTCACCAAGGTGATTCCAAATTCCCTTGGATATCATGAGTTTCAAACCTGATGCAAAAAGGTCTCTTCCACATCCGAGAAAAATGTTGTGCATCCAGTCGTACACCACACATTCAACCCGGAAGCCAGGGATGCACGTGTATGGGGAGACTGTGACAGGCTCCTTGTCCATGTAACCTTCATGATTGAGGCGGGTGAGCCGCCAAGCTGCCCCATGTGAGAAATTCCTTCCACTCATTAAGGGATTGACCCCTTTGGCGACAGAAGCCAAGCATGTATCACACAACCTTGGCTTTCAATGTTGAGTACCAAACCAAGGAATATGTTGAAATGAAATTGATGTATAGGTCATAGGTAACAATATTGAACAACCCTCATTTCTGCTGAAGTTCAGAAGTTTGTAACTTTGAAGGTATATCTTGAAGTAGAGTTTGGGGTGGTAAGTGCGTCTCTTGATTTGAAGATTCGAGGAACAAATCCAACCCTATTTCAACCCCATTTTGATTCAGGACGCCTGCCATTGCCCCCGAAAAATTTGCTATGAGACTATCAGAACACAACGAGCATCGATAGTATCGACTGAACTCATGAAGGTAGCGCCGTGCTTTCAAGTCCGCCTTGATGGCAAAGAAACATCCCCTTAGATACAGCACAAGGTCCGGCCATTCTTGAAATCTTGGTTTTGCTACAAGAAGCATGGTTCAACAAACCAACAAAAATCTAACATGCGTGAATGGGGATACCCATGTTGAGACATAGCAAGTCAAGTGTAAAAATGAAGTGATATCTTTTCCATATGTTAAATTGTTTGCTAATTGGGGCACCCATGTTGAAACATACCCATTGTAAAGTTGAGGTGGAACCAAATTGGGGGATGCATGCATCCAAATCTTTTCCCACAAGTCAATGGTTGGTTTTCCTTTTCATGTATCTATAATGAATAGCACCATTTGGAGATTTACACATTTTGATTATGACATGAACCAAGGATCCGCCAACCCATGGCCAAGGTTTTGCCGGCCATCTTCCCCCTGGCACTTTCAGGAGGAAAGCTTTCCCCATTGTATCCAGTGGCAGGTCCAATTCCTGCACTGGACCAGCCCAGAGACCAAGCCATGAACTTGGCTATCTCTCGGTTCACATCTCGCTGAACCTGAGTGCTAGCCCCAAAACGCGCTTCAAAAAACATATGAGCGGAGAATCAAACAATTTGGAGGTGATATCAACAAGCAAAAAAGAAGCCAGAGGCAAGCTGGGGACCAGGGGACTCAAAATCTTCTAATCGTTCAACGCAAGTGGCATCATGGCTAAGCATGTACCTTTCTGGGATCATTGCCACTGGGAATTTCAAAAGAAGAGGGTCCTTTACAATTCCCTCCAAGGAGAAACAGGAGCTGATACTCCACACAAATGATTCATCATCCCGCTTCATGACTGCTCCATCTCCGTGAATGGTTAGCCCAATGATCCGGCTCAAGTCCACTGGTTGTTGGAATATGGGATGCGTTTTCCATGGAGGTAATGATTGCACATGTCTCCAAAAGCGACGTCGGTCACCATCTTCCAGATTACCAAGCATCAGTGAATCAAAAGCAGAATCTGCATGCATGACTGCAATGGAATGAAGAATCTCATGAGGGGCCAGCACCCGAACTGGAACCTTCCGAACTTTTACAGAATCAATTTGTAGGCCAAGATGTAAGACATATGGTTGCAGCTCAAAACCATAAATTGAACGTAGCCAGCGATGAAGGTCCCGTTCTGAATTTTGAGGGCTCTTGCCATGTCCCCCAAGTGATCCAAAGGCTTCTATTGCAGCATGTGGTAGGTTGTGATCCTTGACCACTCCCTGTGCTACTTCACACGCTGAGGCCACACTCATCTTGCCCCTGCCAACAAGTTCCGTAAGGGTTCGGACAGTTTGGGAATCTTCCAGGTCTCCAAACCGAGGTCGTTTCCTTGGGCAGTAAACATAGGGGGAATGTATTCACAAACAAATATACACTTCTTTTATTTCACACAGGGTTAAAAACAAAGAAACAAATATGACTGGTATCATCTTTTGGGCTTGTCCCGGAATGTGGATAAGAGAGTTGAAGTATTTCAAAACCAATGATACCCTTGGTGAAGACCGCTATGAACTGTTTCATAACCCATTGATCATCCTGGACGAGACAGTTGTGAAATATTTCATTACCCATGATTTCCCTGGAAAGGACGGTTGCCAATTATATCTTATTACCCATGATTGCTCTGGTAAAATAGTTGATCATCTTGTGGATTTGTCCTTGAAAGTGGATAACACAGTTGAAGTATTTGATAACCCATGGTACCCCTCATGAAGACGATTATGAAATGCTTCATGACCGATTGATCAGTTGTGAACCCATGATTTTCCTGGAAAGGACGGCTGTCAATGTTTCAAAATCCATTGATGATCATCCTGGAAAAAAACTGTGAGTTATATTTCTAACCCATTGGGCATCCTGTATAAGACAGTTGTGAGTTATATTTCAACACCTATTGATCACCCTGGAAAAGGACATCCCGAATAATTAAGACAGTTATGAAATATATTTCACAATGGTTTTCCTGGATAAGACAGTTGTAAACTATTTCAGAACCCAAAAAGATAACCCCAGTGTGGGCCAGTAGGGATACCCCCAAAACAAAAGCAGAAAGATAACCCTACCACCTAGTGACCCAGCGCAGCCGATCTTAACCGGTCGACAAATCTGAATGCTTGTTTTGTGGTTCAAGATCTTGGGGTGTCAACATCGCTTGTCTTTCCCCATCAGAAAATATACCAACACTGAAAAATAGGATGGGGCAATCACCATACCATTTCAGCGTGGCAAAGTTACAACCACCAATCTTCAGTCCTCACTCCAAGTACTGGGTACCCAGCTTGCTACGGATCGACGAGGTTGGGCCTGCCATAGATGGGCACGACAACCAAGATCCCAGCAACGACCGTGGCTGTTGAAAGTTGTTCAGTAAAGCCATTCTTTTTTCTCTCTTGATCGCAGGCTTGTTCCAAGCACACACACAGGCGGTTGTAACCACCAGCATCACTAGCACCCATGGACTTGAAACACATTTACCGAAAACCATGTGTTGACATTCTCAAAAAGGTGTTCGCTCACGCTAGTGACAAAACTGGAGGCTCCTAGCAACCCCTGCAGCGGCCGACCATGTAGTCGCAACAAGTGTTCATCACTTGTTTTCAAACCCCGAGACATATCAAATATCTTTTCAGATATCTTTCAAAAGGGATTGGCCATTCCATGGCTGTCTACCGGACATCTACTTGTGCACTTTTTTGGGATTCCTCCTGTGCTTGTCCTCTTTGCCGCTCTTCTTGCTGGGTTTCTTCAACAGCGCGCCAGCGGCCGCCTGCATGGAAGACCCATTGAGTGCAGGAAAGGGCTAATAATGTGGTAAAGGGTAGTAATGCGGTACAAGACCAGCTGACAGTTGGTAATCCAGTTTGATTGATGGCAAAAAAAAAGGAACCAAATTATATATAGTCTTTAAGGTTGCGGATGCATGCATGGACCAGGAGCAAGGTGGCAACAGGTTAGTGATGTGGTATAAGACCAGCTGATGGTTGGCAATCCCGCATGAGATGGCGGATAGAATGAACCAACTTATATAGTCTATCAGATCCTAAACTCATGCATAGACCAATAGCCAAGCCTTGGCCTTTGATCCTTCTTCCTCTTTCTGCTTCGCTTGGCCAAGGAGATGCACAAGGGTTTTGGTATCCCCATCAAGGGCCCCCTGAAGCTGCTTGTAGAGACTTTCCGTGGCTTCGGCAAATTGCAAGAGTTCTTTGGCAAGATCCTTTCCATATGGTACATTGGTCAATTTGATGTGCGCACCCCGGGCACTGGCCGCACTTTTCAACATCTCAGCCATGTACTCCTCAGCCTCCTGTTTGGGGGTCTTAGGAGTGACCTTTTCAGCTTCACGCTTGTCCTTTGCACTTCGCTTTGGCGCAGCTGCCACCTAGTCAAAGGATGATGGTTGAGTGAATGGTTGGGACTAGGTTTGTTCCAAATCTTCAACATCACATTATTAGGGAAATTGTTGAAAAGTGCTTTTTCAATGCTGAATCTCTCACTGTTCTTTGGTCTTGTTCTTTGGTCTTTACTGGGACACCCCCCCAGGAAACTTCACTCCACCAAGCCTGCTGGTTGATCGAAGCCAGCAGAGACTTGCTTCCTGCTGTTGTTGCTGTGTCAACCTTTGGAAGAAGGCCAGACCGCATCATCCCTCCATCCTCATCAGTAAGAACCTGGCGCATTTCCTGGTCAATCGTCGAAGAAGCAGTCAGCTCCATGCCCTCAAGAGTCTCATCGTGTCGTTCAAACTTCTGCCCAGATCGCATGAAAAACCAAGTCTCCTCAGCATGACTTGGAAGGGCAAGTTGTGAAGGCTATAGACTCCCTTGGGCACGATGGAAAATTCTTGTTGGGCGTGATTTTTTAAAGCGGTATGACATCTACCTATTGGGATTGGTGTGTCAGAACTCAAAAAAAATGGTTTTGCATGACTTGAACCTAGAGTCCTCCACGTCGCCGGGAAAGTCCTCATCCTCGTAAAAGAGGCCTGCAGCTTCGCGCGCCTCCACGACTTTCAAGAACTTCTCTTCACTCATCTTCTTGCGAATTTCCTTTCCTTGAATGGCTTCCCATCCTTTGGTGGCTCGGTTCCTGGCTTGGACTGTGCGCTGGACTTTGAGGACACATTTGGACCAATCCCGTCCAGAGTCCAACCAGAAGTTGAACAACTCCGTTTTGTTGGTGCTGTAGAACTCGGCCAACTGCACTGGGAACTTGGACCGGTTCCCAGCGGCTCGGACATAGGCATCCCACTCGCGCTTGTTCGAAGCGCCTTAGGCAAGCCAGCATCAGTAAAAGTGTGGACGCCGCTTTGTGAATGCTTTTGAGACCTAGAGGTCCCCCAACTTTGACTCATGCTGTGGAATGAAAACTCACCTCAACAACTTTGATTCCCACACCCTTGCGATTTTTTTAAAACCCTGTAGGTCCCCCCAACTTTGACTCCTTTTGTGGAGCGATTTGTTTAAAACCAATCTCTAGGACTTAGGGATCCCCACTCCCACTCTCTATCTCTTTGACATGGCACTATTGCGCAAGGTGATGCTTTGCTCCCCTGTGGCCGCTGCGACCGGGACCAAGGCATGCAAGTTGGGGTCAGGTGCTTTCTGCTCCTGCTGCGTCTCCACAGGTGCAAGCTCCAGCTGCTTCGTGCTTTCATCATCGTCTTCTCCTTCATCTCCGGTCGTGTCAGCCTCGCTCTCTTCATTCTCCATGTCCTGGCTGGACTCTTCGTCCTCAGGTGAACTTTCCTCAGAGGGGTCGATGTCATCAACAGGTTCCTCATCTTCATTCTCATCTCCACTTGATTCTTCATCCTCGTCATCGCTCTCAGCCTCTGAAGCTGGTGGAACCTCATCATCTGCTTCCTTGAGGGAAACATCCTCCATGTCACCATTCAAGAGTTTGCCTTCGCTTTCTGTTGTTTCCAAGTCCAACTCGTCATCACTCAGGTTCTGGAGGTGCTCTGCAAGGTCTCGCAGCCTTGCCTCAGCCAAAGCCTTCTTTGTCGGCGGGGTGAAGATTGGTGCAATCTTCTCAGCCTGTGCAGGAACAAACTGAATAGGAGGCTCTTTTTTCTCCTTCTTCTCCTTCTCATTGCTCTTTCTTTCCTTTCCATGGCCAGACTCAGGCTTCTCTGTCTTCAGTTCCTTCTCATTCTTTTCATTCTTGTCCTTCTTCTCCTTTTTCTCCTTTTTCTCCTTCTTTTCCTTCACCTCTGGCTCCGGTCGAACTTGCTTGTCTTGGACAACCTCAGCAGCCTTCTTGTCCTTCTTGTCTTTCTTGTCTTGCTTGTCTTTCTTGCCTGTCTTGTCTTTCACAGCTGCTTTTGTCTTGGTATCCTCCACCGTTGCCTTTGTCTTGGCATTCTCCTCTTTCTTCTTAAAGCCTTTTGACTTCTTCGAATCTTCCACTGCTGCCTTCTTTCCTGAAGACTTTGCCGCTTCCACCTTTGCCTTCTTTGCATTGACCTCGGAGTCGACATGAACTTCTGCTTTTCTTTTCCTGCTAGGTTCCCGGGTGCTCCTCGAGGGCTTGAGGTGCTGCTTTGCTACCTTGGTAGAGGCAGAGCTTGAGGCTGCAGACTTTCTCAACGCACTAGGACGCTGAGCTGGCCCTTTCCCACTCATCCTGCGAGATGGCTGATCCTTTTCAGAACCCATCCCGGCAACACCAGCGAAAACTGAACCTCGAAATGGCTTTAGTGGATTGGAAATCTTAGCATTCTACAAAGCGCACGTATTCTCGGAAAAGCGCACGGTTTTCTCGGCAAAGCGCACTAGTGAAATGGCATTTTTTTTTGAAAAAAAAATGTTCGAGATGGCCCTGGATCATTTCCACGGCCTGCACTTCTGCCCCTGGAACAAACAAGCTGGAAAGGCCGCTGGATTCGAAGCATCTCTTCAGACACAGCCGTGGCATGCCTAGCGGGATGCAGTTTGGCACTGGATTGAATCCTTGAATCCTTCAAACTCAACAATTCCTTTTCACCCCAACTAGAGCGCTGAGCCAAAGCATAGCCGAAGGGTACCTTCCACATTGGCATCTGATGAAAGTAAGTATGTGTAGGTATGTGAATATATATATATGTATGTATGTATGTATGTATGTATGTATGTGCTGTATTTGCTGTCTGTATGTATGTAGATGTATATTTTTATGTTTATGTAATTGTATGTGCATGTATATATGAATGTAGATGTGTATGTACATGTACATGTACATGTACATGTGCATGTATACGCATATGTGTGTATGTGTATATGTGTATGTGTGCAGGTAACGTAATGTAATGTAACGTAATGCAATGCAGTGTAATGCATGCATGCATGTCTTAAATTTGCAAATATATGCATATATATTTATTTACACTCTATCCATCCATCTATCGATATACCTATTCTACCTATCTATATATGTAACTATCTTTCTGATGATGTGGAAGCAACCCCAGCTACAGTGCACAAACTCAGTCTGATTTGGCACCCCCAAACTGACCTATCGTTTTGATAGGAAATCAATCACCGGCTGCAGCTGGGCATGTTCCGACCACAGTCTGTTTACCCGTGGTCTGGAATCCATGGAGTTGGCACTCTTCTTAGCCCTCCTGAAAAATTCAAGGGCCAAACGACGGTTCTTCTTCTGGTTCTGGGAGCGCACTTTCGAAAGGGCTCTCCCAAACCTCAAACCAGCAAGACATGGAACCAGAAAATGGCACTAAATTTCAGGGGTGTTTTCTTTCATGAACAGACATAGATAGGTTTCCCCTTCACAGCCAAACAACCCTGCAGGGTACGATTCTGAGCTTTTGAGATGTTGTCCACCATGAAATCGAACCTTCCCATCTTCGCTGGTATATTGGACCACCATTTCCCGTGACTGCAAGTCCTCGGGCACAGTGAAGTCGAGGATCTGCGAGATGCATCTGTGACCTGGGCCAATGATAAAGCTGGGATACAAAAACCCACAACACCGAGGGGTTAAGTGACCCTATTCTTTAAAAAACTACTGAAACCCCAAGTTTGCTTCCCGAAAACTTTTCACCTAAAGGATGCAAGTAGCTGGCATAAAGGAGCGTCCGCTTTGGCGTGGGTGCGCCAAATTGGCTCATACGAATCATCAGGCGTCTGACTGTGGTGAGACGTAAGAAGCTTTGAAAGAGCGGGTGAAATTCCATTGTTGATGAGCTTGGTTGTTCCAAACACCAAAAAATGCCTTTACAGGCGCATAGGACCAGGAGGACTATGGCTCTGGAACACAGCAGGTTCCCCATTTGAACAGCTGGACTGTCCTGCCGTCCCAAAGGGTTTCCACGAGTTCGCAAAGTACTGCCCATCGACCTCAGCAAGCCGGAAACCGTTGTGAAGCACTTTGCAGGCGTAATGGCAAACCATGGTGGGATACTCAAACCAAAACTCCCGTGCAAAAACAATGTTATATTGAATGCGTTGAGCCGCATGAAGACAAAGGTCGAGCAGACTGGAGCAGTCATTTTCCCAGATCCAATGTCCAGGTTCAAGGTGTGAAAAAGCGCATTGCTGAACCCAAGACTCGTAGATAAGTCCATGGTGACATCATTATATTTGATGTCAAAAGGAACAGCACATCGGTTCTCCTATGATGGGGTCGCCCAAAAAAAGTAGTGGTGATTACCAAAACATTCTTGAGGATTACATATGAATTCACCCTCATAAGAAACAAGGCTTTTTTCAACCCCTGTCCATCCACTCATGTTTGGTCACCTCCATCGTGCCAGCAAATGTTTCGAAATGCTGGGATGGCTGCTCCCAATTGAGGTTGGGAATTGCAAACAGCAAATTCACCAACGTCGCCAGAACCTTGGATGGACTTGGAGGTGCCCGATTCGAAGGGAGAATGCCCACAACAAAAGACAACTAGATATCTCAACAACGTTTTCTCAAATAGTTTGGTCTTGAAATGGCCCCTCATCAGAGAAAATGTGCCCGATATCAATTCCCAACAAATGACCACAGGAGCTCGCAAGTGCTTCAACCCTGCCAACACCCAAGCTTGTTGGCGATCCTTCATAGACTGAGGCTGCTTCATGGTTGGAGTCGGTTCTCCATGCAACTTCCCATCAGCGACCCTAACCCTATAGTCTGCCTTTTTCGTCACGTCCTTCCGAACCCTTTTGACCCCAGGCATCGAGCGCCACTTGTTCAGCTGCTGCAGGGCTTGACTGGAAAAACGTCTACATACATTCAAGCACCGGTTTGCCTGAGCACATGAATCAAAAACCTGTGGAATCCAGGCGTCTATAATCCTTTATCTTTATTTGTGTGATATGTGATATATGTATATATACCCATATTTGACAGGAACCCGTGGTCAACAATCAGATTCATCCCTGAAGATATTCTTTGAAAGCCATTGACCATCTATGTACATAAGACGGTGAAGGTTTGACCGCAGCCACGCCCAGTCAGCATGGCCTCCAAACTTCGTGACGTGTAGACACCGCCTGGCAAGCAGAATGAAGGCAGCTAAATGTGTCAGGTTCAGTTCAAAGGTGTAGAGGGGAGTGCTCATGGCAACATTGGGGCACGGTGTAGGAAAGGATGCTGACTGCAACCCATTTAACCACCACGCACGCATGACTTGCCTGGTTGTCCACAGGGTATCATCTTTCTTTCACCTGCGCCGGGGCAAACCATAGCGTTCTGTGTGTCTAATTATCGTCTTGTTTACTACAAGTGAATTTCCACTTCAGTTGACTCAGTTGTTATTTGGGATCCACCAGGAATTCAAAGAAAGATTTACCAGGCTTCACTTCCTTCTTTTGTTGGGCCCCTCAAATGTCTCCCGACTGCAGAACGCATGGAAAATAGAGAGGTGCTGCTGAGGGCATCTTTTGCTGCCCGTGCTGTTCGAAAGCTCTCCTGCTCCATGATCAGCATTGATCAACGACAAACCGCAGCCTCCCCATGTACCAAAGACGACATCCTATGGAGGGCGGCCAAACCCCAAACCTAAACTCAATGGAAATGACTGTCACTTCCATTTCCCGCTTCAAACTCGAAAGGACATCATATGAAGTTCGCACGGTGCTTTGCAACTTCCCATGCGCGAGCTGGGCTATCATGTTTTGACCAACTGATTTGGCCAGTCACAGCCTTCTCAGAAGCCTCACCACCACTGTTGCCAGTGATGACCCCAACTTTTTTCACCACGAATGCTCTGTTGGCGAGCAAGATCTCAATCGCCTAGGCACTGACAATAGCACAGGGTGTGGACATGTAAGGATGTCATGGGATATCAACATAGTCCTGAAATCTTAGGGTTTGAGAAAGGGGGCTGCTCCTGTGAAGATAAGGGGCTGCTCCTGTGCGGGACCTTACCGTAAAGGATTTGGACCCTTTGTAAGGGAAATCCGCCTGTGGCCATGCATCCACTGGGATGCCCATTTCCTTGAGATCAAACTGCCCGAATCGGTGCGTGACAGCATCAGCGGCCTTGCGACCATGCGTCTTGCCAACCTAAGTCAACAGATGCTGCCATCAAACATTGCACTAGATGGGAAACAGTTTCGGAAGAACAGGAACCGTATCGTTGTGCTGGTTGGACTTGAGGGGATTGCAATGGAATGATATCACTGTACTGCAGTGGACTTCTAGGACACAATTTCAAGAGAATATGAACCATTTCATCATACTGCTTGGACTTTTGGGAACATGTTTCGTAAGAACATAAAAGCATATCACTGTACTGCTTGTTTGGACTCCTAAGTAGTTTCATAAGAACAAAGAACCATATCCATAATGCGTGAAGTGGCAGTTTGGGGTGGGACCGCACCCAAAGGCTGATCTAAGATAGCCTTTTCAACGATCTTCCCGCTCTTCGGACGCTTCGCTGCGGGCATCTCCTTTTCGCTGTCATCTTCGTCAGCTAGGACTGGCTCAGCAGGCATGTTCATGAGCTGGCGGGCATGGTTCACCGGATCCTTAGCAGGATCGGTGCAGCTGCTGGTGTTCTCCTACACCTAAACCAATCCTACCAACATGATTTTGATGAGAAAGTGGATCCCAAAAGGAATTCAAATACTGGAAGGGATTGTGTTGGTTTACCCATTCTTGAAAATGTCAATACAGCTGAGGGTCGACGTCAGCGGGTGTCGATGACGAAGAAGACGGATCATACTCCTTTCAGCCAATGTGACATCCCTCATGGCAACACCTTCCAACAAAGAAGATCTATTATTTAATGAAAGATAATTGAACAGCATGCAATTTCTATCGAACTTGCAGATGCATACGCAGTCTTGTTTCCCACACCCTTTCCTTGTTGGCCTTCTTTTCTCGAAACCTGACCCACAAAAGGTAATGCTTTCGGGATGCCATCCTGTCGCTGACATTGTCCCCAAACTTCACCAAACTCTGGAAGACATAGTCATAGTAGTGCGCAAAGTGAGGGTGGGTGACCAAATCCGGATCAGTCTTCAACAACTCGTCGATAAGATCCTGCCAAGCCGGGAATGAAAATGAAGGAATATATTGATGTCAAAAGGAACACCCCAATTTCAAACGCAAGAAGGTGTCAGACCATAAGACAGTTTTTTGTTAAAGCTCCTTTGCCACTCTCTTCATGTTGAATTCCTTATCCTCATGTTTCTTAGCCGCTCTGCTCGACTGATTGTAGGCACGACCAAGCCATGCATTGGACACTTGGGAGCATGGAAAATGGCTTGATGAATCTGACTCGGTTGAAGGGCTCGGCGTATCTCCAAGAAGCAAAGTCTCTTTGCTCAGGATGCTATCCGGGGAAGAAGGAACCCTTTCTGGAACACAGTCACCACTGTGGCCCCCACTCTCACTCTCACTGGAAAGATTGTCCCGGCTCTGCCCACTCTCATTCTCAGGGCCATCGTCAACGACAGCCTGTGACGGGGAAACATCCCCCGCAGAAGAAGGCGAAACATCCTCACCATCATTCTGCGCTTGATCATCCGACCCCGCACGTTCTGATCCAGATTCAGGCTCTGAATTGTCAGCATCACCTGGCGTCACATGCTTTAAGAGGCCAGTATGGGAAAACACACACACACACCCACGCACACACACACACACTGGTGATCACACACCACGCACAGAGAGGAAAACCATTCCGCATTCCGCAATTGGTTTTGTAAAAACTGTTTATTTGTGTTTGCAGCAGTGCCCCAGAGAAGTCATTTCCAGCTCTTTGCAATGGAGCCTGCACCAGGACTTTCACTGCCGGCTGCAGCAGGCGACTCTTCAGAATCGGATCCATTGATGGCAGCCTTGAGCAAAGAAACAAAGTGAAATAAATCTACTGGGTTTCTCCAAAGTAAATCTACTCGGCACTGATATTTATCGTTGAATATCATTATCCCGATCACTGATTATATATGCTCAAGTGTTTATATTTATATATATATATGTATGTGTGCATATATATATATATATGTACATATATATATATGTACATATATGTATATATAATTATGTATCGAATATTTATATGAATATACCCCTCTGCAAATAAACACCTATCTATCTATCTATCTGTCTGTCTGTCTGCCTGTCTGCCTGCCAACCTATCAGTCTATCAATCCATCCATCCATCTTTCTATCTCTCTCTCTCTCTCTACCTCCTATCTCTTTCTACCTTTTTCTAGCTCTATCTATATCTCCCTCTATCTCCGTCTTTTCTATCTATGTGTCTATCCATTTACCTAATACCTACGTACCTACCTACCTACCTACCTGTCTATCTACCTATCTATCTACCTATCCATCCAAAGGATGCGAATGCAGGCTGCTTATTCACGCTCTGCCATCTATGTCTATATCTGTTCATCTGTCTATATACCATCTATCTATCGATCTATCTATCTACCTGCCCGTCTATCTATCTTTCTTTCTGTCTATCCATCTTTCTATCCATCCAAAGGGTGCAAGCAAGGGTGCTTATTCACCCCCTATATCTGTTTATCTGTCTAACCATCTATCTATCTGCCTGTCTGCATGTTTATCTTTCTACCTACCCACCTACCTACCTATCTATCTATATCTATATCTATCTATTTATCTACCTTAATATCTGCAACCTGTCTATCTTTCTACCTATCTACCTATCTTTCTATCTATCCATCCATCCATCCATCCATCCGTCGATCCATCCATCGATCCATCCATCGATCCATCCATCCATCCATTCAATCCATCCATCCATCCATTTTTTATTTCCCTATATCATACCTATTTATTTCCCAAACACCTATGTATTTATACCGTGCTTTGTATACTTTAAGGAGCCGCTTGCAAACAAACTACTGGCACCGGTCGCGCGCTAGCTTGGAGATAGGTCTTCATCTCCGCAATGCGAGCGTCATGCCCTCCCACAGGAGAACTTCGCCAAAGAGCCCTCAAGGCTCCCATCATCCGCTTCCCACGGACGCCTTCCTTTCCTGCTAGATCTTTACGTGTCTCACCTGCCGGTGGCTTGAACAGTTTCTTCTTGAGAATCAAATCAAGGTAAAGGAAGCAGTCCGTGATGTAAAACGCTGATGGCACCTGCAAGGGTGCAAAATGTTTGTTTCCTACATGACCGGGAAAGATAGCAACCACAGAACACGTTTTGAACAAAAGGTGTTTTTTGAAACTCCTCAGACCCGCTTTGGAAATTTCATGACAAAAGGCTTAAGGAAGACGTAGTTCTCCGCTATTTCAGCCGAAGTCGGTCTGGAAATGGCGCTTTCCATGACCATGCAACCATCCCCTGGCCAAGTACCGTCGTCAAGCATCTGAAGTAAGCTGGGCTGCAAACAAGATTTCATCAGAAATGCTTGGGAAGCCTCAGGTTGAGGATGGCTTCCTCAGCTACATTTGTGATCCTCTTCGTTGGGAGGCATGGATGGATGCACAGTCTGTAAGTGCATAGCTATGGTGTACATGTTATAACCACAATGACTATACAAAAAACGCAACAAATTGGCTACCCCAATCTACTGTACCCCCTACCGTTGGTCCCAAGTAAACCTGCACTAAAATCCCAAAACAAGCAACAACATCCTTTTCCTTCCATGACACACGACCAGGACCTCAGACCACAAAGCACTAATGGGGTGATTCCTCATAAGACTACTTCTTGGTTCATAGATATTCACAGATATGATATGAAAACCTATATTGGAGCCATCTGTGCCCTGCCCAAGCCCCAAACGGGTAGACTTCCATCCTCCAAGGATGAATGGGAGCTCACGTGGCTCTTCAAACGGAGGCTGGTGGGCCACCACTGCCATGACCACCAAATCAGAGCGACAACCCTCCAAAAACTCAAATGGCTTCGGACAAGACATGTGAAAGCAGCTTTTGACAAAAAAGTCATTGACATGTACCTTTCTTTGGTGAATTTACCCTTTGTGTCCCATTCACACGCTCTGCCCTACACTGTATCAGGAGGCGCAGGGGCGGCGCACCTGCACATAGGTCAGAAGCTGGAGATCTTTGTCATGCCTGAGTCCGGGCCGTCACTGCATGGCAGCATGGCAAAACAAATGAAGAGACTACCCACGCAAATTCTAGGATCAGCTGGACTGTAGGCATTACAGTGGGATTGACACATGACAAGTGTACATCTTGAAACTTCGCGTTCAACTGGACCGTGAACAGTACCACGGATATATTTAGACATCACAAACTTGAGTGCGCTTAATGAAATCTTTGACTGTGGTACTCCCCATGTAGTGTAAAAATCACCATATCGTGCAGATCCTGCAAAATTATTCACAGGCGAGGTTGGCTAGGACGATGCAAACGTGAACTGAGCCTAGGGCTTTCGAAAAGTTGAAAAGCCACCAACCCATCGATCACACGTAGGCTCATCAAATTGGCCATGGGAAAGGCCACAAGGCCATGCACATCTCTCACAGCGACAAAAAATCTATGTCACGTGGTAAAGGGAACTACAACCTTTTCTATCTGCAACCCTCCTTCTATATTATCACCCATCCCTTTTCTGTTTTGATCCTGGTCTAAAAAGTGTTTGGTAAGTAATTCGCTGTCACCTCGACATAACTTGTTTGCATTTTTGCCAACAGCCACCGGGCGCTCAAATGAGCAACTGTGCAGCGTCCCCCTGCACAGCTGTCCGGGACCAAAAAAAAGCGATCGGAGCGACGGCGATCGGCCGAGCATGTTGCGGAACCATGCGCATGTGTGGAACCCGCAACTTGTTGGTCCCAAGAATTTCAAAATCGCCTCCACAAATCGAACACACGTTTGTTTTATTAGTTTTATTTGTCGCGTTTCATGTTGGAAGGTTTCTAGGTGTCTACTTCTAGGACCCCTTCTTTAACCAGCAAAGATTTGCATAAGCTAAGTTACCCAATTTTGGCTTTTCAGTCTGGAAACATCAGGGTGAGGCAAATACAGCTAACCTAGCCACCTATTTTTCCAACAAACCCACCAAAATATATTCAGATCATATACGTATCATATAATGTCAATACATATCAAATGCATACCATATACATACCATATCATAGCATATACATATCGCGCTTTTTGCCTTGAAAAACAGCAGCCTGCAAGCTGTTTGTCACACACCCCTTGGATGGCTAGTCATGTCAATGCCCTGACAGTGTTCTTTACACTAGCGATACAGCATGACCATCATCAGTGCTGGTGATGTCAAGGCTCTAACCTTGGTGCTTTACAAACGAGACACTTTTCTACAAAAGACAACGTGACGTTGCCAAAAACAAAAACGATGTCCAAAGGACACCGTTGGAGCCTCCAGGAAGGTACAGCTCTCTAAACCAGTATTCCTTGAGCATCATAAAGGAAAGGTGAGGTGCCCTCACTTCCAGTACGTGCGATGCTGGCATTAAAAGAGTGACCATCCATTCAGCTAAAAATTCAATCATTTTGACTTCGAGTAAGAATCCGCCGCCCCGCAGCCAGCCAGGTCCACCATAAAGTACTCTTTCAGTGGATAGTGGATAACCTTCCATGGGTATCACAGTATGACACAGTTTATGTGTTCGTCGACAACGGCATGCTGTCAGGTGCTAATCCCCCTGACTACTGGCAGCACTTTGCCCCATGGATCAAAGGCCGATGTACCGTAACTGGACCCTACCGGGAAAAAACAACTGCTATCCATGTCCCCATCAATGCTGACACAGGCTTGCACCAGGTCCATTATACCTGAGCTGGAGCGGCGGTCCTGGAGGCACTATGCCTAGTATTTCCCACTGTGAACTTTGCGCTCACGGACTCTGATTGTGTGCCCACTTCGCTCTTCGAGATAGCTGAACTAGTCAATCTCATGACGGACAAGGCGAGCAGAGCCGAGGCAATGCAACACTATACCATGGCAAGTTCCAGCCAATGCCCGCCGGCAGTCCTGCTCACAACCGAAGCAAAAGCAGAGCTTAATGCTGGATTGATTATAGCCACAGGGCACACTCAGATACCCACCACAGATGTTGACATGGACCAGGAAACCCCAGATGCTAGCATGCAACCAAGTGATGCCGCTGGCCCCTCTGCGAGTGATGCACCTGCACCCAAAGCACGACGCATAGTCCAACCAGTAAACAGCAAAACGGCAGACGAGTGGGTCATTGCAGTGCGCAACAGTCGAGCCAACTTTCTAGCCACGACAGCCGTCCCTGAAGACCCTGCGGAGGCAATTAGAGGTGGACTAGTTCTTACCCCTTTAATTGGATGCAAAGCGAGAACCCCACTAGACTGGACGCATGCATGGGCCATGCTAGGTGAATGGGCAGGAATCATTGCATTCCCTATCCCTGAGCAAGGGGAATGGCCACGCCACGGGGATGGTCGTTACTTGCGACCGGATTTTGTTGAGCGAACCCCACCCTTCCTCACCTGGGCTCGTCCCATCTTCGAACAGGGAGCACTCTCCCCCATGTCTGTATTCCCGGCCAACTTCCCTATACTCTGCCTCCCGGGGGACAAGCTTTTCCAAAGCAAAGAGTTGGATAAAGGGTACAGTCTGCCACCCATTGTACATGCCTTCCATGGGAGCAAAGTAGGTCTTGGACAAAAGCTCCAGCAGTAGCAAAGTCAAGGACTGCAACCACTCGCCGTCTCGCTCATAGGGGCTGACGAGGCGCCCCCGCTATGGACACATCCCACAGGTTGCGATTTCGCCAGAGGAAACAGATTAGTAGCCAGACCACATGTCTCACGACAGCGCAGCCTGACCAGAACGCAGGTGTTGCTACTCCAGAGTCTCTGGACGCCAGTGGAGGTCCCCAATCACAACAACAACCACACACCCTGGCCCCAGACCTGCCTGACTGCCCACGTCCTCTGCGGACAGCAAGCTAGCCTTCAACTGCCCACTGCCGAAATCCTCCCTCTACTTGCAGCACTGCAACAACGACTGGGAATTGACCCTAACAACGCAGAATTGGCTATCAACGAAGTTCTTGCCAGCCATGCTGACCCCCAATACACTGACTGGAAGATCATAATTATGGATAACACTGCCTGGCAACTCAATCCCACTGACCCAGGGTCCCTGGACGTTCAGTGCACAGGATTGGGTGGAGGAGAACTTGACGAAGAGTGGGATGTACTGCTAGCTTGTAGAAAAGAAGCGCATGTCTACGGACCATCACTCAGCAAGCAGGATGATTGGAATGCAAGTGCTGGCACAATTGCAGGAACCGCCCATACACAAGAATACTTGTTGCTGCATATAGCCATGTTCCCAATCGGAGCCCACACCTGGTGCCGTGTACTTGGAGTGCCTGATGCCCATCAACTGCAAGCACAGATCATTAGCCGTGCCATGAAGCTGCTTCAGTTCTACCCCATTACCCCGGCACATAGGAAACCGCCATGGCCAGGGTACAAGCATGGCCTGCGACTCTTCACCAAACTGCTAGTTTCGCATCGAACACAGAAGATTGTGTCACTTTCCAGCCAAGAGTCAGAAACGTAAGCAGCAGCCAGCGCAGTGATGGATGCAATTCTCATCAGAGCCATCATTTCATGGGTACTTCAGTCAACTATTCTCATGTGTTTGTACACCGACTCATCAGCAGCACGTGGAATTCTATCAAGACGTGGAGTTGGTCGTTTGCGTCATCTCAGTTGTCGAGTCCTTTGGCTTCAAAACTTGGTTGGTGAAAAACTGTTGATGGTTAAAGCAGTCTTAGGAGCAATCAACCCATCTGACATAGCCACCAAAAGACTCAGCATCAGCAGGTTGGAATCACTGTTGTATTTGTTTGGTATCTGGGACAGTGCAAACAACAGCCTTGTGGGACAACATGACCCAGGTCGAATTTTCAGAAATGTTCCTCAACCTCAGCAGAACAGCGCTTCCAGATATCAGATCAACATGTTGATTGGCGCCTTGAGCTTGCTTCTTCAGGGTTGCGGGTCGGACGTGCCAAGTGTAGCCATGGACTATAATTTTCAAGGATCGACTATGCAGGCAACCATCGTCACCAGCTGGATCACCTTGCTGACTTTGTACATGGTGTTCTTATGGATGCGCAATCATCAGCCGGTTCACAATGAAGTTTTGGTCAGCAATGATGATGATGATTTGACTTCTGTGGAGATGTCCTGCAGCGAGGCTGAGATAGAGTCCAGTTGTGATGGTCTTCCAGACTTTCCTGCCTTCAGTCCTGAAGCATTGATTTCATGGATGTTTGAAAGGTGCTACCGTCGACGTGAAGATTCAATTTTCAATGGAAATAGCATCAGAGCATTGGCCTACACACAACGCATGACGCTGTTGGTGGATCTGTTTGATCATGTGATGGGTTCTGATGACCCCGCAAGACAG